ATTATAACTGAGATCATCACTGAGAGCTTTTCCACTGATATTTGTTTCTGTTTGCTGAGGTCATGACAGCAGAAATAAAAAATAACCGTAGCAATAAAAATGAGGTCACGTGTCCTTTGTTGGGACTCCTGCTCGTCTCTGACTCTGTCCGTCTTCCTGTAGTGCGATCCAGCAGCCGCGTGAAGCACTTCAAGATCCACCAAGGAGATGATGGTTTCCACATCGAGCCCAAGCATCCTTTCAGCTCGCTGATCGGCGTGGTCGACTTTTACTGCGCCAACAGCCTCAACACCACCGGCCAGCTGGGCAAGCCCTGCAAGAAGGTGAGTCTGGGCTTCACACCGCCATCATTTACTCGCTCCTCTTGTGTCTGTGACGGGGCCACCTGCAGGGAGCAGCCTTTAGTTTTGCATGGATGTGAATGTCTGAGGTGCTTCTGTTTCCTCCATCAGAAAAAGCCAGAAACCCAGGATTTGAACCACTTCACGGTGGACGAGTGGGAGCTCCCGAAGGAGGAGTTCACGCTGGAGGAGGAGCTGGGCAGCGGCTTCTTTGCTGATGTTTACCGCGGCCGCTGGAAAAACCACATCAGCGTCGCCATCAAGATCCTGAAAAGCGGTATTTTATTTTCCTGCTGCTCACAAACACAAGTCTGCTCAAATGCGTTCAAGCCGTCATTAGCCCCGCCCCCCGCCTTTCATTCAGTGCTATAACATGACTGAAAACATTGAACACGGCTGTGGAAACACTGAGGACAGCACGCTGACCCTCGTGCAGACAGCACAAGTGAAACACACGGTGAAGAATTTTATTTCTGTCACGGGGAAGTGAGAGTTTTCCTTCCTCCGGAAACACAGCAGCACCTCCGGCCAATGAGGATGGAGAGAAACTCAAAGACTTTATCAAATGTGAACACATGCTGAACGATGCCGCTGATGCTTTCACAGACACAAAACCCACAGAAAATTACACTCAGGTGGACATAAAAGACAAAGTCATCAAATAGTCTGCAGCTCCAGAAATGCGTCTTCTTCCCTCCCTCGATGTGATTGGACC